CCCTGCCTTCCCCTGCCCTTCCCCCCTTTCCTCCCTTGCCCTTCCCTCCTCTTCCCTGCCCTTCCCTCTCCTGCCCTCCCCTCCCCTCCCTTGCCTTTCCCTCCCCTGCCATCCCCTGCCCTCCCTTCCCCTGCCCTCCCCTCCCCTGCCCTCCTCTCTCTCTCCTTTCCTACACCCACACCCACACGGCTCCTCATCAACATCTCCCCCATACTGTTTGGCCTTTGCTGTATCTGCCCAAAATCTGTGACACTTTTTCCACTTGAGGAGACATTTTTTGAGATTAGAATCAATGCATGCTGTGGTAAAAATGACGAGGACAGTGGTGATGACACTGATGATAAACTGCATCGCTGTGATGGTCCCAAGCAGCCACTCAGGATCCCCACACTTCTTTCATGGCCACCATTTTAATGACTCTAAATTCCCTCTGGTGTGATTAAGATTGGGATTAAAAGTTCTATTAAAATCTTATGAAACAGCTTCAAGTCACCTGGCCAAAGTCTCACGCTTGCTGTGAGCTGAATCTCTATAATAACTTCTTTTGCATGTAAATTCTCCTTGATTTCACAGTGAGAAAAAGAGATGATTCTAAAGACATTGGTGAAAAAAAAAAATAAGGACATTGGTGAGTCTCCTGGGTCGCAGCATCCAACACTGCCAGCCTGCGGTCAGGCCACCTACAGATAGATGCTGGCAGCGTGGAGCATGGTAGAGCAGGGCCTTGAGTGTGTATTTGCTCATTAATCCATGAAAATAAATAAGATGATGAAAGATAAAATTGCAGGGTGGGAATTGCTCTGGGTTGAATCATTCCAGGCTGAAACTATCTGGTATTCTTATCTGCCTTGGTTTTCAGTGGGCCCCAAATATGCAACGTGGCTGCCACGAAGAGCAGCGGAGCCCAGTTACATAAATCAAAGTGAAACAAAAGGAGCCTCAGGACCAGCTTCTGCGCCGATCAGGCTGCGAGGGGAGAAGACACATGTTCCATGAGGAAGAGAGCCTTTGGCAGATGTTAACAGAGTCCAGAGAAGAATCTGGAGGGTTCCTGTAGGAGATGCCAAAGTAGGTCACAGACAAGCTCATGAAAAGGACTGAATAAAATTTAGGCAAAGGCTGAGGAACACGTTGTGGATAGTGGATCAGCCACAAGTGGCGGCACTGAGGGTGGAGGCGGATTTCTTCTCCAAAGAAGAAATTCTACCCATGTGCCCCAACCTGCGAGCAGAGGTCATGGGACCCTGGCACACAGTGCCTGCAGGAGCAGCAGCAGCATCTGCCTTCGGAAGGAGGCCAAGGCAGATGAGCACAGTGTACGTTCTGTGCAGAAGGCAAAATACGGTGCAGATCTGTTACACGAGACACCCGAAGTGTGCATGACTCGCTTTGAAAATATTTATGTTTCTTAGTATATCTTTGCAGAACACGACTACCTTCCTCACAGGGAGTTGGAATATGGACACAAGCATCTTTAATCTTTCTAGGGCTCTTTCTTCTCCCTTTCCTTCACACCAAAGCACAAACAATTTAAAGAACAAAGTAAAAGACAGATGAAGGGAAACAGGGAGAGAAGCTTTGAGGAGATGGGAAAGGGTTCTGGGGATGGGAGAGATTGGGGAAGTAGAAAGGACTGGGACAAGACTTGTGCATGGGTGACTTCCCCAGGAAGACCGTATCTACCATGCGTCACAAATACATGCTAAATTCTTTTCAATGTACACTGACTTGAAAATTGTGTAATTCTGGTTTTATCATGATGATAACCTTATTTATCAAATAACAAGAGAGCAGGCTCCCCTGGGCTATTGCAGGAAGAATAAAATGATCATATATATATATATATATATATATATATATATATATATATATGATATTGATTGCAGGAGTGGGAATCGCTCTGAGTTGAATCATTTCAGGCTGGAGAAAGCCCAGGCTCCCCAGAGTTCCACTTTTTCCAGCGAGAATGAGAGCTTAGCTCGACTTTATTCCTGAGAGGCCCATGAAGACTCAGTGGGCTAACAGTCTCTCAGGGGGACGATCTGAACGTGTGGACTGCCAAGTCCTCAGAGGCAGGTGAATGGATGTTGGGGCTGTACTCCCCAAAACCACGGCATGAGGAGTTGGGGAAACAGAATGTTGACATCTTAGACATTACAGAAGACACACTGCCATCGATCCCCCTCAGTGCGCTCTTTCTTGTCCAAACACACTCATGCCCTCGTTCTGGCCACTTTTTGGAGCAGCTCACACCCTTGTGTGTCCGCCGTTGAGCTGTGTAGCTACCTCAGCCTCCTAAATGGATTCAGAATGCTTCCCTTTCATGGCCACGCTGACTCTGGAAAGAGCCCGAAACCGCCCAGTGGCAAATCTGGTAGTAAGGTGGATAGGGCCGCAGCGGGGGGCCCTTACACCCTGTCTCCCGTTAGATGGCACCTGCAGCAGCGCGCGCCATGAACTTTAGCACACCGCATAAAGACACTCGGGACAGAGCCTGCTTCAGAGAGCGCAAGCCCAGGGAACAAGTGTGAGAAGCGAGGAGTACACTTTCCCAGGGGCACTCCTGGCAACCTGTCTTTAGCTTTCATACATTTTTAAATTTTAGCAGTCAAGGTGCATTTTAGCTATCTGTGTGTCCACTGTCGCTCTGTGTCACCAACCTCGACCCGAGCAGGACTTGAGCGATAGCGTCCCCATGTGGGTGCGCGGGGTGCGCGCGGTGCGCTGGGTGCCACACACCGCGAACGTCCTTACCCTGGCGAGTCAGACTTGTCCTGGTTGGCGGTCCGGGGGCAGGTCACCTGCTGCTTGCTGTTGGGCGGGCGCAGGGAGCGAGGCGGGAGCAGTCAGGGAAAAAGGAAGCCGGGCTGGGGGCCGCTCTCCAGCCAGCTTGGCGCTGGCAGGGAGTGGCTGCACCGGAGGATCGGAGGATCTGGGTATCGGGGTATCGGGGTATCGGGGTATCGGGGTATCGGAGTATGGGAGGATCGTTGATCGTATCACTCACGGGGAGGATCGTTGATCGTAGCCACCGCCTCCTGTGCACCCCGCGCTTCCTCCCCGATCCTCCCCTTTCCTTAGCGACCCTCCCCCCACCCCCTCGAGGGTTTTCTGAGAAAGAGGCCTCGCGACACGGTGGCGGGGACTGTGGGTTTATTTGGGGGTGGGATTGGGGGAAGAGGAGAGCGCCTCGCTTTTCTAAACGCGGCTTTAAGACTTGAGACAGCCGAGAACATGAAAGAACCGGCCGCCAAAGAAAAACCGAGAGCTCAACGTGGACTTCGGTGGGGCGTGGGTCCAGAGATCTCCCTTTCCTTTGTGCTGGCATTTGAACCTGGGCTCAGGGTCCCGTCCTAGCTGTGATCTCAGATCTGATGGAGAGACAGAACGGCTTCCTGCCAACGCAGAAAATCTCTCCCAGTAGGAGAGAAAGAAATCGGTTTTATTGTGGGATACACATTACATCAGAATGAGAGACTCGTCCCAGACGACCTGCTAAGACACTGCAGAGACAGTGGAGGGCGCCTAGCTGTATTATATAGGCCAGCGGAAACACCCCCACTAGTGTGCTCTGAGTCACAGATAAGGCTCAGCGAGAGGACTTAACCACGCCCAGTTCATCTTACATCTTTAGCTCATGTTCCTCGTCTTGAGCTGGCGCGTGGCATCACACGTCTTAACTCATTTTGAAATTCTCCCCCCTCCTTTCCCTCTCCCCTTTCCATCTGTTGATCTTACCATTCAAGAAAAATCTATCTCCCTATTTCCTAATATCTATCTTTTGTTTCTGGCTCTTTATTTATACTTGGGTTTTTCCTCATCTATGAGAAACCTTGAGATGCTTAGACTTCTGTGTTTTTCTTCACTTCACATGATGGTCTCCTACCAATGACTCAAGTTCACCCTTCTTTGTGGCTGCGTCCATTGTAAGCCAGAGCACATTTTCTTTATCCACTCAGCTGCTGATGGAGGTGTAGGCTGCTTCCACGATTTAGCTGTTAGGAACTGTGCTGCTGTACACAGCAGTGCCGCATGTATTGCTGCATACAATGTCATTAACTCTTTCAGGAAGATACCTAGAAGGGAACTAGCTGGGTCAATGCAAGTTTATCTTAAATCCACTTTGTGACAATCTGTGTTAGTCAATTGCACTGTCCAGAGGAGAATAAGCCTCCTATCCTATGGCAAGAGAAAGTTTTGCAACTTGGGAGTGTAAACATTAAGCTCCTATCCAGGCTAAGTTCTCAGACTCCTACTTCTGGTGTCTGGGAGATAGCAGCGCAACACCATCTTTGATTTGCCCTTCAGGGATGCCTCCAGGTACTTGAGAAAGCTTAGGGCGGGGAGGAGGAGTTGTCAAATGGCAAAAACCTTTTCAAAATACTTTTACCTTAGGACTGGGGAGATAGCCCAGTAGAATAAGCACCTGCCTGGCAAGCGCAGGGTCTTGAGTTCAATCCTCTACTTTTATCTTAAAGGGTCAAAAGAATTGACAATTATTAACTTTCTTTAATGAAGTGTAAGGTATTCATACATACAGGATAAAAGTTGAATACTTTGGAACTCCTTCTAAAAGTAAGGTGGGGAAGAGATTCTCCATTTGGGTGGATTTTGATCTTTCACTTCTGTCTTGTTTAAGCTGCAGGACCAGCAAATTCCAAGGTGCAACTAGACTCCTACCCAGTTAAATGAGACTGCTATCGTGGTGGCTGTCTGAAACCTATGTGTAGTCAAATGCCAAAATATGTCCATGATATTTTGGAAGAACCAGAAACCTAAAGAATAAACAGAAAAGTGTAATGGTTATTATGTTATGAATTCTCCCAAGCAAAATTATTACAAGCTCAGTTTCACAGCTTTTGTTATTTGGAGAAATTCAATTTTATTTCATAAAGATATGTCTTCACGGTAGAACCTGATCTTTGAGGCCCAAATTTCTGTCTTTTTAAAATTCATGGAGGACTTAGTAAAAGGTACATGAACGTTGTGGAAGTGACAAATCAAATCTCATGACTCGTTTTTACTATAAGGTATTAAGCACTTACTATCTTTTATAGCATTATTTCTACAGCATTTATTTTTTTATTTCCTAGCTGTTTTGCTTTATTATACATATATATTATATTTATTATAACATGAAATTATATTTAAAAGATAAAGTTAAGGGCTTCCACACATATTTATTGCTTTGTGTTTTTAAAACCTAAAGATTAGAAATTAGCACTATTTTAGGAAAAATGCATTTTTGGTTGCACTTTGTAAATGAACTTAACAATCACATTCTGACTATTACGTTTTTTTTTTTTTTCAATGCCAGCCTTTTATTAGACATGAAGAATCAACAAAGTTGTGAAAAATGCGGGTATAATCTCTTCCTCTGCCTCTTTAGCTCTGTATCTTCCTTGCTGAGGTCTGAGGAAGGCTCTTATTTAGGAGGTCAGCCCTTTATTCCACGACAATGCCTCCAGGGGGCCTTTGTTCAGGGAGGGGACAGGAGGAAACCAGCAGTCCCAGCCTCAGCCAGCGGCACAGCAAGCTGTCGGTTTCCACCTCGAGCAAGCCCCACCTGCGGGCAGCTCTTGGGGAAACTGAAACACGCCACTGAGTGGGTGCTGGGAGACCGCTGCGCCTGACAAAGCCCCACTGCATGTCGCCGTCAGCACCCGTGCTTTCCAATCAGATGTAACTTTCCATGGGGTTGGATGTTTCCAGTTTACAGAAGAACACCACTGCTCCAAAGGAGAAGTTAATTCATGTTAGGGATTGAAGAAAAAACCAGTTACTGAGAAGGTTCCTGAAGGGCCCAGTGACACGCTTTCCTTATCTGCTGTGTTTTAAATGCTGATGTAAAAAAGCATACTCAGGTTGAGACTTTTTCAAAAGGGAGTTTTTGCTGCCTTTTCACTGCCAAAGTTCATCTTGATGCAATACGTTGTTTAGGTTGTTTAGCAACAGGATGTTTTTTTCAGAAGTGGTGGCTGATTATAATAACGAAGCTGAATAAAGCTTGCAGTCCCCCAGTCCTGGAAAACCTACATTTTTCATCCCACTTCCCATTTCAAAAAACAACTGAAAAAAAAAATCTTAACCAAATAAAGTAGTAAGGCTATTATAACTGAAGATACTGTTTCATATAGAAAGACATTCTGGAAGAATTAAAAAGGGGAGATCCAGCCCTAGCCCAGGCCCGGTGAGTGTGTGGGAGAGCTTCAGACTACCATGTGTCCACGGGACCCGTCCGATCCAAACCCAGGCACAGCATGAATATGACCCTCTTCCACGCCCTTGGGACCCCCCCTACCACTCTCCAGCCCCCCACCCCCCGCCCCATGAGTGAGAATTTCTGCAATGTTCTCAGGACCCCCAGATCCAGCCCTAGCCCAGGCCTGGTGAGTATGTGGGAGAGCTTCCCTCTCCCCTACTCCCCCTTGTCCCCTTCAGACTCAGCTCAGGCTTGGCATACAGGCCTGGGGTGAAACTCTGCAGCTGAAGTCCCTGAAGAGAGACTAGGGGACAGAACCACCCAGCTAGTCCAGGAGCAGAACATCTTGCCAGAGGGGCACAACAGGTTCACTCCCAAGGGCTACAGCAGGATGGAGTTGAGCACAGCAGCCAGACCCAAGCCAGGCACGACTGGATAAATTCAAACTTTGTAAATTTGCACCTAAATTTCAGTAGGTGCTAAGGTTATAATTGCACCAAAGCTCTACAACAAACGTCAGAAGACAGTGCTACACAAAATGACAACAAGAAGGAGCAAAATGCAATCTCAGACCCCAAGCCCACCCATAACAAATGCAGAGGACACTAGCACAGAACAAATTGGGAATCACACAGCTGAAATCAGTGAATCAAGAGCTTCTGAAATAAAGAAACAGCTGCAGAAAGGTATAGAAGAACTCAGATTGGAAATAAAAAAAAAGAAATCCCTGAATTAATAGCATCTGCAGTGAAGAATCAAATGCAGAAATATATGGAGGAAACCCAATGCCCACGCAGAACAAGTGCAGAAGACACTAGCTCAGCTCAAATGTATGAATTAATAGTGTCTGAAGTAAATAAGCAACAGCAGAAAGATATAGAGGAACTCAGAGTGGAATTAATTTCTGAAATAAAAAAGAATTAAAAGGGATAAAAAGATGAAAACTCATCTCTCCCAGTCTATCAGATATAAGACTCTAATCTCAATGCACCCAGTAGTGCTGACTTGAAAAAGCAGAACTTTAATGTTAAGTTAAAAAAAATTATTATACAGCTGCTTGGATTAGATTTTCAAGTTCCTGTGAAAATATGCATTTTAAAAGTTTAGCTTTTCATTATGACATTCTTCTACTATTGACAATTCTATTTTAAATTACTTGTTAAGTCTGACTTTTAAGGTCTTAAAGGTCAGGGGAAAAAAGGTTCCACAAAGAAGGTACTGTGCCCATCTGTGCAACTGAGCGCGCCTCTAAACTTGGGCTCCCCGTTTTCCTCCGATCCTTTCCTGAGGGGCTTTTCATGCACAGTTGAGACGAGTAGTTAAGTGGTATGAAGCGATGATGTCAGCCAGGCAATGCTCATGGGACCAGATGACTTCATGGCTGCTCCAACACACTGCAATGACGCTGCCTTAACTGGACTGTCCGTCCAGAGCACACACTGCCTCTTAACATTTGGTGGCAATCAGCACACAGCCATCATCAGGAGAAATAAACAGAAGAGTGAATGAACTTGAAAAAAATAATGTATAAAGCCATTCCTTAATGTTTTTCCAGATATTTTAAAAGGACAGCTTCCTTGTACTTGAAATAGCAGAGTCCCTGCTCCTGTGTGACCACATGGGCTTGGCGTCCGTAAATGAGAACCACTACAGGCAAATACGTTCCTCAGAGGCTCTCAGAGACCAGTCCTGGGAAAGGTACCTGTCACTTACCAGCTATTGAGCTTTACCGCTCAGAGAACTGCCAAAACACAGTCGAAGCCAAACTCTAGGTTAAGGTAGGTTCTTTATATTATGCGCATACTGATTAAATTCAAGCATGTTCCTCAGTGGCAGGCAATAATGACTCAATTTTGGAAAGAAACAAAAAGTTCAGTTTTTAAATTTTTTTTCTGCTTATGGGCACTACCTCCAAAGTTTCACAGACAGACACATTGTATAATTCATTCACTAGATAGGAGAGGCTAGATCCCAGCCATAAATTCAGAGCATTCCAGAGAACAAAGTTTGCCGCTTCAAAAATACAAAGAGATTCCAGCATGCAGTCAAGCACTGTGAGAAGGGATCGCCAGACACACTGCAGACCAAGCTGAGCTCTGCTGTGAGCCGGGCAGATGCTGGGACAAGCTCCTCACTCAGACTAACTCGGTCATGGGACAGGGCTCTCTCTGTGGGATATGCGAAGGACACAAGAGGAGCTAGATGCCAAATCCCCTTCTAGCGCCATTGTAAATGTTGAGGACTTCTGTTTGAAAGAGCATGCTAAAATGGACCAGCCGGAACACTGTATGTTAACAGCTTTAAAAATTTTTTTTAAAATAAAATCCCAGCCCCATGTGACACTGGAGGTTTTTTTTTTTTTTTTTTTTCATTTTAAAAATAGTTCTTAATTATTTTCTATGAAACATATTGGGAACTCAAAAAAGTCTGCAGCATTTTTTGATCATTGAAGTTTGGTTTGAGGGGATGGTGCAGGAAGCAGGAATTAATCAAATTTCTTGTGTTCTTCAAATGAGAAAGGACTTTTCTTCTCTGATGTATCATGTGGAAGTATAACTGGGGGAAAAGTGGAATGTAGGCGATCATTATCAGAATTAGGAATGCATAGCAGTCAAAGGAGAAATTGTTTTGGTTAGGTAAACTGATGGAATTCAGGCCAGCCTGCCTGACAAAGGGCAGAGCTGCGTAGATTGTGAACAGCTCCCCCGACATGCCCATTGGGTACAGCAGGATGAAAAGCGTATACCTGGCCCATATGATGAGGTAAGGCAGAAGGTTTAATAGACTGAATGTATAAAAGGAGCAACGGATAATTTCTGTGACTGTCCAGGCAGTAACAAACAGGAGGATGCTGTCTTCAGGCTGTACCTCTCTGACACTGTGTGTTACTGCCCATATTAGAAAAACTCTTGACATCACCTGGAAAGAAGTCAGGACAACAGAAGATGGGGCAATTCCCATAGCACAATGTAAAACCTCCAGTAAGGCTCCAGTTTGGAAGAACTTCAAGGGCTTTTCTATTGAATAATAAAGGCTATGGTAGCTCCCTTTAGCCAGATATGCTCTGATCAAACCAACTGCTATCACCAGCCACCTCACACGTCATCACCACATTGTAGATGACCAGCTAC